CAAAGACACATCTTTACAGTGTCACAAACAAATATTCTGCAACAGTTTCTCAGACATAAGATTAATCAAATTTCTAAATTCTATTTTTGTTTTTGGCCTAACATAGACTTTCAAATGAAAAGGCTTAAATCAAACTGATTTTTTTTCCTTTTTCAAAAAAAAAATTAATATATTTCCAAACCAGTATTTTGTATCAACATAAATTTTACTCATTTGGCTTAACAAGTAGATACTGTATTTACTCAATAAAACTAGTTAAGTTTCTAAAATTTTGAATTATTTAAAATTGTTTCGCTGACATTTTAGCCCCATATTTATTTGCCTTTACTCTTCAGCTTCTGTACCTTTTTATGGATACTTGTTAGATATTTCCAGTTTATTTATTTATTTTTTTTAAAGATTTATTTATTATACATACAATGTTCTGCATGTGTCCCTGCAGGCCAGAAGAGGGCACTAGATCTCATTACAGACGGTTGTGAGCCACCATGTGGTTGCTGGGAATTGAACTCAGGACCTCTGGGATAACAGCCAGTGCTCTTAACCGCTGAGCCATCTCTCCAGCCCCTATTTCCAGTTTAAATAGCAGTAGGGTTTTGTTGGTTTTCAGTCTTTTTGAGGCCAGGTCTCATGCAGTCAAGGCTAGTTGTTCTGATCTTCCTGCCCCAGGACCCACAGGTGAAAACCACAGTCCTGGTTTATGAAGTGCCGGGTGTTTAGCCGGAACCTCTTGAATGGAATTTACCAGATTAGCTGTACCCAGCCCAACAATAGTCTTCAGAATGCAGTTGGATTGCTTTGTATTCTACTTGTATCTGTTGTTTGCATTTGTTTGAAACTTGGTCTCCTCTTTTCTCCCTTTTCCTTCGCTCACATTCCAAAACACATTAACTCTTGAGGCCAGGTTGGGGCAGGTCCCCCACTTACAAGCTTAGTGTGCAGATGGAATGTTTCCCCAAGTTTCTAAGATACAGTATATCTGAGGGAGGCAAGTGTGTGCTTTCTCCTACCCTACTCTTTTTGGGTGTTTTTGAGTCTATGTCCTAGATGGCCTTGAACTCATGATCCTCTGGCCTTAGCTCATGCTGGGATTACATGCATACACCATCAGAGTTTCCTTCTGTTTCCCTATTGGCACCACATACATGTTGTACACTTACATACATGCAGGCAAAACACTCGTACA